CCCCCCCCCCCGGGGCCAGACGCGACAGGCCCCCTAAACCGCACCATGCCCCCATTTTCCACCCCTAACCCCTGGCTCAACTTTGAACTGAAGAAAGAGAGGGAGAGGGAGAGGCAGACACAGCGAAAGGGCGCCCTCGGCTCGTTTGGATTCGAACGCCCCCCCCGTTTACAGTATTGGAAGGTCACAAAAGAGACCCAAATCTCCTGCTATTTTGTAAAAATTTTCCAAATCTTTCTTCCGAGTCCCCTTGCCCCCCCCATGCCTCGCTGCCACCGCCCACACCCCAGCCCCCCCCTGCTGCCAGGCAGGGGTCAGGGCATCTCGGCCTTGCTGTGCTCCATGGCGGCCTCGCTGTCTTCCCCCTCCGAGTCGGAGGCCGTGTCCGAGTTCGACGGGTCCAGGCCGGCCCGGGCGGGGGTCACGATCACAGCCCGCCGGCGCTGCTCCTCGTCCTCCAGCAGCTGCTTGTCCTGCGTCCCCTCAATGTGCTGGATTGCCTGCAGGGGAAAGAGGAGAGGGCAGGAGGGCGTGAGGCAGGCGGGGCCGGCCACTGAAACTCTGAGCACGTCTGCGGGGGGGGGATACACGCATCCTGCCCCCCAGAATAGTCCACAGACCCCTCAAGGGGCGTGAGGCCAGGACAGGTCTGCTTCTCATGCCCTTTTCCAAGTGCCCCCCCCACAAAGAAAGAGGCAGCTGGTGATCCCCCATCCGGTACTGACACCCTGGGGGGGGGGCCTCCCCTGGCACCACCGCTGCAGACTTTGGGGCACGCCAAGAAGGCCTCTCGGTTTTGACAAGCTTTAACACTGGGGTTGCCGTCAATTTCAGTTTCTGTCCTTGATGGGTGCTGGTTCAGGTCCAACACTCCGTGTCCCATATTAAAATGGTTGATTTAATTTTGAGAAGCCACATGGCAAACCTTATGCTATAGAGCAGGAGGGAACTCTTGTGAAAATTCACAGACGCTGCTGTTAAGAAAAGTGCATCTGTGTGTCTGCGGGAGGGGGCACTTCCCCTTCTCTCTCTTCCCCACAGATTCAAGGACCCTCCGCAATGGGGGAGGCAGCCCCCACCCCCGCCCCCCAACTACTTACAGCAGCAAAAGCATCTGAAAGGCGGGCCAACTGGCTCCGGCAGAAATGCCAGAGGACTGGAGGAGAGCCGAGGTCTGTCTCTC